GAATGGTGTGAGAGAGGTTGATTGGGTCAGTATTGTGCCCAGTGTGGCACTGCTGGTAGGAGTCCTGAACACACTTCTGTTTCCTACTAGAGTGGTCTCAGTCTTTGGTACCGCAGTGTGGACCCCTTTCTGCCTCCAGCCATCCCTAGTGCCGCTGGCTGTGTGGCACTGCTTTGCTAGAGTACCTTGCTGAAAGCTTTACATAATGACCTTTTTTTGGTGCTTTGAATGAATTGAGAAACTGCTGCAATGCTACTAGAAGTCTGCCTGGTTTCTAGACTCCCTGCTTATTCTTTGCCTTGAGACAATTGAAAGTACTACAGTTGTGTGGCTTGAAGCTCACATGTTGTTACTTTTCACACAGCGATTGTCTTCTGCATCAAGTGGTGATTCAAGGCCATGTCCCTGCTCATTATGCCATTAGTGAATGCCACTATAAATGCTTGTACAACAGCTGTGAGTTGCCGATTTGTATGCTAGTCAACAAACACTTTCTGCTAACAGCAAAGCTGGCGATAACTTTATAACGTTTCAGGAGGGTTTTCTTGTGATTTGTTTGTCTCCATCCCCATATTTCTCAGGCTTCAGTTAGCTCGAGGTGTCTCCAACAACAAGGGCATTACGTAAACATGGGCAACCATTGTTAAGTGGCTGCACCCCATTCTGCAGAGGGTGAAAAAGAATAAATTCAAGGTGCTTAAACAGGGTGGGAAGCTGCACATATATATGAGTTTGGTTAGGTGAGTTCTCCATGCCTTGGGGTTCCTTGTGTGCATTTTGTGGGCTTTGTGTGCTGCTGCCCCCACCTCCGCTGTCTTTGATATCTCTGGAATTTCTCCCATGTGCCTGTATCCCTCCTTTTCCACCTCCTCCACCACCTTACCACCAACCCTGTGCCCCCTGCTCCTCCCTGTGAGCAGTTCATGACCACACCAGAATCCACCACTTGGGCACAGCACCTTTTTACTGGCAACCCTGATCTTTCATCTTGGAGTGATGAGTTTCCAGTGTTGCTTTCTTCTGGGAAGGTGATGCACAGGGGCTGGAGATGTTACTGGCTGCTCTCAGCTGCCTGTTGGATCTTCAGAAACCTCTGCAATTGTCTGACATTCTGCTGTGCAGATGGATGGAAGAGCTGAAGCCTTTGATATCATGGGTTTTGCTTTTTCTTATTTTCCAAAATCTGATCACCAATATCTAATTTTTTGTTGTGACCTAGTAGGTTCTTTTATTGACTGGGTACAGTTAATAAATAAAGAAGGTGGCATAAAACTGTTTGCTTATTCAAAATACTGCAGTACAGAAGGTATTTTTCCCCACCAGTTATACTCCACACAGTACTGCCCTGCAGGACTCAGCTATGTGATTTATATTGTCTCTGTGTATAGCAGCATCTAGATGGGAAGTTTGGCTTTTTTCCAAGTGTCTGGTCTTTAGTGGCTTCTCTAGATTTTATACCTTTTTGCAGTATTAAAAGTTCCTTACAGGAAAAGTATTGCAGTTCATTAACCAGTGGCTATGGGAGGGAAATTCCTGATCTTCTGCAAAGCAATTATGTTGGAAAGGAAATAAGGGACTTAAAGAACTTTAATTAAACATGTACATCTTCCGAAAGATCTGAAGCAATTGAAAGCTGAGAACAAAATGCTGGTTAATGGTATCTCTGGGTCAGGCTTTGAGCCTTAGAAGTCTAATGCTGCAAAGCTTGTCTCAAGAGACAGGGCAGGGAAAGCCGGTGCCTGTTTAGCTCTCTGGCAAGAGAGATCCTATAGAATTAGAAGGAGCGGTATCTTTACACAGCTTTTCCCCCACCCCTGTCTTTTAGGGGGTATACCTCGGCCTAAAAATGCATTTTAAATCCATTCTGTTAGTGGTTCAGCTGCTGTTACTTTACTGCAGCTACAGAATATTCTTCGTGTAGGTACTTTCTAAGATTATGGACTTGTGCTGTGTGATTGCCTGTTAGTGTGTCCCAAGAGTCACCATGGTGGTGGTTTGATCTGCATTGCTGGCCCTGTCATTACTGCTCCATAGGGAGGCTTTGAGGATGCTCCTGCAGCACCTGCTATGGGTGACCCACCCAGGACCAGCGTGCAGAGACTGTGAAATTAGGATGACCTACAATGGCCATTTTCTGTGCCAGTACTTCAGGCAAGTAGTTAATTTAGTTAATTTATAATATAATATTATAGATGAGAAGGGCTGTTTTTGTGAAATTACCTTTCATCAGTGCCTGCGAATGACGTGGCTCATTACACCTTGCTTCTGAAATGTTCTGAAAATTCTCATTTTCTCTATAGCCCTAGTTACCAACCATTAAAACCTCTCTGATCCAGACTGAGTAGTAATGGAGATGGATGGAGAGGCTAACTCTCGCTGGAAGTGCTTCAGAGATTGTGGAAGACATCAGGTCGCTTCAGTACATTAAGACTAAAGAAGACTGAAGATCAGAGTTGTTTAAAAGAAGAGACTGAATAAATTTCTGTTAGAAGATGCTAAACATATACAGAAAGCCCACTCTATTTGTGTTTTACAATGATTTAGTATCACAATGATTGAAACCATTGGATTTTTATTACTGGACACTACCTAAAATCAAGTGGGCAGATTCTGTGATACCTTGAGTGCCTAACATGTGGCTGTCGTCATCGTGTGTCACAGGTACGATCTCCTTGTCCCCTGCCTCACATGCTGGGCTGTCCACAACTGCTGGTGTAATGTTAAAGAAAAAACCAACCAGAACAACCAATCAACCAAAAAAAAACCCCAAACCAGACAAGTGAGGGGTGATTTCTGATAGAAAAAGAAAGGTTTTAAGAGTGGTGTGGAAGGACTTGGCTCTGCTTTCTGCTGGCAGGATATTTCTTAACTCCAGGGGTTTTTAAACCTGAAAAATTATTTTTTTTTCCCCACAAAAGAGATTACTGGAATTAGAATTTTTTTATCCCTCACCCCATGAGGTTCCAAGTATAAAAGTGTTACCTTAGGGATATGTGTGACCATCTTTGATCGAAAGCACCAGAGCACATAATTCCTAATACATTGGAGACTTATGCTTAATTGGGGAATTAGTGATGCCAGAAGAGGGCTTTCTCTGGGGGCATGTTAAGTGTGACCAAATACAGTTTCAGGATCTCAAACAGAAGCATCAGAGTAGCTAATTGCATTAGGGGTGTTTTCTAAGTGGCGTATGAGACCTGAGACACTTAGGCTGATTGCTCTGTCATTCAGCCAGCCATAGCAAACTTCTACATCATCTTAGAGGGATGCCAGTAACTCATTGGTGACCTCTATTATTAATACATGGGGGAACACTCCTGTGACCGCAGTGTTTCAAAAGTGTTGACTCATCTTTTCTATTTGTTGATGCAAAAATCAATGTAAGTTGTGGTGTTTTTCCTATGATAGGTGAATGGATCCAACTTCTTTCCATCTTGCTTTTGTTGTCTTCATGCAGTTTGCCTCATCTCCATGTTGAAAGTGGATTAAGAGACTGGAACTTCTAATGGCTTTTACAATGAGTCATAATTGCATGTCTAGACTCCTTGGACAGTTTATACATTTTCTCACTAGCATGCAGGATGAGTTTCTCTCTGGTAGGTTAGTTACACAGTGAATCCAAATATAATAGTTTTCTTCTTGAAAGAGTTTTAGGAGCTTATGTTAAAGCCCTATCTTAATTTAGTGTGTCTGCATCGAAACCTTCATGATCCCTTCTCAGGTTCCATCTTTAGGAAGTTTTTTCATTTCATATTTACACAGCCAACTTCCATATGTATTTTTTATGTTATTTTTTTGGGGATGGAGAGAGACTAGATTAGCTTCCTTGCTTCTGCCCCCCAAATAAAAAATCTTACTCATATGTGTGTGTATATATATATATCCTTTTATTTCTGAAATGTACAGGTATTTATATAAAATGTGATTCACTTGCATGTTGCTCCTGCTAACAGGGTGGAAGACTTCTTAGTGGTGTACTAGTAACAGCAAACTTTTCCACAAGTGACCAAGCTCATGGCCTTGGTCATGCTATAAGCTTGGTCATCCTATAAGCTGCTGTATGGCTTCCCAGCTCTGACAGGCTGGCTGCAGCCTTTAAAAAGAGAGAAAATGAGTATGTTAGGTGGGATACATCTAACGAAATCATCTAGCTGCCAAATCCAGAGAAAAGTGAAATCTCTAGCTTAAGGAAGTCCTAAGCAGTGCCACCTAATAGCACTAGCAATAGATCTGCTGGTAATGTTTAGAGACACAACTTGGTGGTGGTTACTTAAAGTGAAAATTTGGTGGTGACGGGGCAGCTCCTCTCTCTGCCTGCTCACAGCCTTGTTTATCCTCAGATCTGCTTGTGAGCTGCAATTACTGAACCACCTCACGTGTAAGGGCTGCAGGTTGCAGCTAAGATATCTCTGTGCAGGGTGATCCCATGAGCATCCCACTGTGGCACATTGTGGGGTAAGGACCATGTGGAAGAGGCTGGTGTTGAGGGCCGTGCAGAGGATGCTGTTGCCAGCAGCACCTGACAGTGAATTTCAGGGACTGGCAGGGCAAATTTGCCTGCTGTAATGAGGCAAATTTTAAATGAAACGGTTCAGTAACCACAGTTCACTTTTTCATCTCAAAACTAATTTCCAGTGAGGAAGCAATGGTGGCTCTCTTTCTTTAACTACAGACGTAGAAAAATCAAAATTAATGCACTGGTACCCTTTAATGAAATGTACTTGATTTCCCTAGAGGAAACACTGCTCCAATCTCTTGAAAATCTTTGTCAGTGTGACTGCTACCCTTAGTAAGCTTGAGTAGATTTCTGATCTGGAGCAAATGTAGTTGAGCTATCACTATAGCTTTCATTTTAGTAAAAAACTTAAACTTCATTTCTTGATACTTGTTCCAACGAATTTGTTGGTTTAAGGGCTGGCTACTGTAACAGTTAAAATATCTGAAATGTTTGCTATGATTTTCTAATTCACCAAGGCTTTCTAAAATCTTTTCATTTCCAGGGCTGCGTACAAAAGTATGTTGTGAAGAACTACTTCTACTACTACCTGTTCAAGTTTTCAGCTGCTTTGGGTGAAGAGATTTTTTATATCACTTTCCTTCCATTTACTTACTGGAACATAGATCACTCTGTGTCTAGAAGGATGATAATTATTTGGTCGGTAAGTATTTCTATGGCTTATTTAAATATGTAGTTGTTAGTTCTGTAATAGTAGCAAATGAATATATAAGATATAAGAGCTCTTTAAAACAACAAAAACCACAGCCCAACACTGTTTATATGTGTAACTTGCATGTCCAGGAAGTGGAGGCATTGCAACACAGAGAGGAGGTGAGAGGCATTAGCTGGTTGAGGGTGTCTGTTTATCTCTGTTACATCTTGAACTGACTTATTTTTTCAGCCCAATAGCTGATTGAGGCGCTTTTGACAAGGTTTGCACAGAACACTTGGGGAAACACCTCCTTCCCAATGTGTCATGGTGTTTTAAGAAACATGTTTCATCACTTCAGGAAATCTTTTTCTCACCCAAATTCCTTCTGCATAACCTCTTCATATAGTTCTGACTTCACTGAAATTGGTATAAACCTAATAGGCAGCTGCAGCAGAATAAGGGGACGCATAGGCTGCAGTCATTTGAGGGGAAGAAAAGTATCAGATTCTCTGCTGAAGGCTAAGACTTAAAAGTATTGATTTTAGTTACTATGAGAGCATTCTCAAATTAACTGGCTTCGGCATTGCTTCAGCCTTCACAAATGTGGTTTAGGGTATCAAGAATAATGTATTTCCATTCTGGCACTGAAAACCAGTAGATAACCAGGCACTTCAGCATGGGAATGGGTGTTGTTTTGTCACTGCCATTGCTCATCTTGGTATCGATCATATCTTTGCTGCCCAAGTAAGGCAGTTTTGGAACAAAGAAGGGATGTAGGGAGCATATCTGGCAGATGGCAGACCCTGGAGGTTTAGCTGTCAATCTGCATTGATTTAAGAAATTGAAGGTTGGTAAAAACTTGGATGTGACATATAGCTTTGTTTCTTTAGAGTGAAGCTTCTCCTTGACTTAGTCAATTCCGGTTAGTAATATACTGTCTTTCGTCCAAATAGTATGATGAGAAATGATAAAAGCAATTTGAATTGGGTCATACACTTCAGATGCACCCAGTCTTGGACAGAAGGCGTCAGTTGTTCTGTGCCAGTAACCCTAGTCAATACATATTATAAAGAGAATACGAAAAATAACTTGCAGTTGAAATTCTGAAGTGGGTGGACACTGTATAATTAGAGCTGGGTTTTGGCCAGGACTACACCTACTGCTTCTGGAAATGTGCCACAGAAGATGGTAATTGGTAGTCACTGCCTTCTGGATTTGCATATTGCTCAAAACCTGACTCTTTAGAGCTCCTTGCCATGCCTTTCTTCAGACTTGTCTTGCCTTTACCTTGCAATGAGTCCACCCGAGTTCTGGCTAGGTATAGTCTGGTTTAATTAGAGTGTTCAAGCATGTGATATGACGATTATTAATATTAATTTTCCAATTAATGAGGGAGTTGTGGAGTTGCATTTTACACTGCAAAGGGGGGAAAGGAGAGGCTGATTTAAATACACGGGCTTGTGACAATCTATAGTTTTAAAAACATTTTAATTATATGTAATTGCAAAACGGCTAAAAATGTCTATGCAGGCTACGTGTTAATGCTATGGCAAGCTCAGCTGGGTGGCTTATTTGCTGGCGAGAAGGCTGTGAACAGGAATCAGCCTTCATGGTGCTGTAAGTGGTGTTGGTCTGTCTTAGACACCTTGGTCATGTATGCAATGGTGGAATCAGCTTAGCTGCATGGGAAATGCCAGCAATTCAATGTGGCAAAGACGAGCTTTTATCTTACTGGGAGGTTTTTGGCATTAGCACTGGAAGGATGCCTGTCTGGTGACATGGTGATGAGCAGGGTTACAATCTGCAGGTTATCTGCAATTCAGAGAAGAAATGCTTCTGCTTCTGAATGGATGATGGTGTGGGGCTGAGAGCAGCTGTGTTAGCTAAAAGTAAAAATCCAAGTAGCCTGATACTCTCCAATAAAAAGTTGTCAGGAGAAAGCTGGGAAGAGAACAAAGGAGCAAGTGCAGTGCCTAGGACCAGTCTGCAGAAGGCTCTTACCCAGTTGGGGAAAGGAGTTGGTATCAAACGGAGGACCGTAAGGAGAAGGTAATAGTAGTTCCCTTTTCACGCTGTTTGGGATGAGGGGAGGTTGTTAGTGAAGCTCTTCAGCAGGGAGAGAGATGGTGGACCAGCAACGACCTTTTTGTGAGCACAGCACAAAGCACACGGGTACATGAGGAACATGTGCTGGTAAAATGCGGTTGGCAGGGATGGTTGTGACAGAGGGGGTTAGACCATGGGAGAAGTGGGCTTAGCTTTGAGGAGTTCAGAAACAGAAGCGATACTGAGTGTGGTACTTTGGTGGTGCCACTGGGGACTTAAACCTGTGAGTTTCTGCTGCAAGTTGGAAATGAAAGAGTCAGTGTTCCAGGATGAATCAGGAGAGCTTCTTCCCTTAAAAATTAAAGCAGTATTAATGCTGTTTACATCCTGCCATCTTATCTGTAATAGTTTATGCAGAGCCAGTCACCCACATTTGAGAAATATAAATTTGAACTGGAGCAGGGCCAGGGATGATTAGGGAATGGATTATTTTCTGAGCAGCAACTGAAAGCTTAGGTAAGTCCCTGACAAAACGAGGTTGGAGAGAGATTGGGGCTGGCTGTAAACACCACGGGAACGAAGGAGCTTCTTAAAATAAAAATACAGACACAAGAAGGAACATGCATAAGGCAGTCATAAATAAGCTCAGTTGAAGCCAAAGGTTGTGAAATAGCTCTAGCAGGGTGAAAGGCAGTAAGAAAGATTATGAAAAGAGTTTGTTTCAGTGGCAGCAGCAGAAGGGTGGACTTGATGCCCTGGGATGTCTTATCCAGACCCAGGTCTCCAAAAACAGCTGCTCATGCATTTTGGTTTAGCTGGATGGTTCTGGCTAATGCTGGCTGTGGTCACATCCAGATGCTTTGGAAGTTTAAAGCACCACTGTGCTTCCACAGTGCCTTTCCTCTGAGGATTCACAGTATGTATGCAGGCTTTACTTTCCTTTTATCTCTAGGTGAGGCAAATAACTGCCTGAAACCCCTGAGCAAGGTGCTGGCTCAGTGCTGAAGGTATCCTGCTCTCTTTGCTCCGTTCTCCAGCAATTTGAAGTAAACACTCGTGAATCTATTCAGGCGAGGCTTCGGTGCCTGTGACTCTTGTTACTGCAACCAGGAAGTGCAGAGATGAAAATAACTTCACATGAACCAGCCCCCAAATATACTTCATATTTGCTGCACATCTTGGCTTGAGAGGTGAAAGCTCTGTTTGCTTTTTTGATTCTTTAGGATTGAAAGCTTCATTTTGGTGTGTAATTTCAGAGAATAATATAGAAACCTGGGAAAAACCAGTCTCAGTTTCCGCTTGTTTTCAGCATGCTCAGCATTTTGTTTTTTCTGGTTGTATTTTTCAGGGTGTGTGGATGTAAAATGCACCCACGCCTCTTTTGAGCCTATAAAACTTTAATTTACACAACATAAATAAGAGCTGGCCAGCACGGACTTTGTCGGGGCAGGTGTGGAAGCTGTCAGTGTTTGGCTACAGTAAGCTACTGACTCGGATGAAGGTGGCATCTCTGAAGGGAGGCAGAGGTTGGGTTGCTGGCGGTGCCAGGCTGTGTGTGCCCCTCTGGGCTCCTCAAGCGGTGCGGGTTGCAGGCATCTTCATCAAGTCCTGGGTCTGAATCCATGGCTATATGGTTCCCCTTCATGCTTTTCAGAAGAACAGTTTTCCAAAGGCTGTTGACATTTAATTATTTGGGAATGATGAGCTCTGAACTCTTGCTTTCAGAATAACTGGGAGTTAACTGGCAGGAGTTTATCTGCAATCATGATGTCACTGACATTAGTGTGTGGTGATTGAATCCCTGGGTGCTGCTTTGAAAAGCTCACATCTACAGCAAACTTTGGGTTTAGTGATTCTCATGTGTTTGCTGATTCTCATGTGTTTGCTAATTCTCATGTGTTCGTTAGTTTTTGAGCTTTTGCAACATTTACCAAAATGTTTTTGAGCTTTTGCAACATTTTGCCAAAACAAGCTTGGAACAGCTGATAAACATAGTCACTCAAAAGTCAAACTCTTTAAAGTGCCATGTATTGCACCGCATAAGAACAAGTAAAACTATATAGAGGCATACAAGTAACTATAAAATGTCAGAATACAAAAATAATCGGTCCATAAAAGAAAATTCTGTGTGCATGATAAAGTGTTGGTCGAAAGAGGATTTTGTGCGTGCTGGTGGCTGTATTCTGCTCTTGAAGAAAAAGTGCCAGTGAGGCTTTCGTAACTGAGACCAGCTGGGAATAATTTTGGGTAGAGGTTTATTTGGAAACCTTTTGTGTTTCACTAGAACCACTAGGTGTAACAGTTTCCCAGTTTTAGATGTCAGATGCATAGGCTGGATGTGGTTCTGGGCAACCTGATCTAGCTGAAGATGTCCCTGCTCATTGCAGGGGGGTTGGACTAGATGACCTTCGAAGCTCCCTTCCAACCCAAACTATTCTATGATAAATGAGATCAATGTGATGGTAGTTTTTCCTACTACCAGGAGACTGGGCCAAAATTTCTCTTATTTAAAGCCATCATAAGATGGACAACCATACAGTTATTGTTTGAAGGCTTCTTTTAAAGACAGAGCGAATGTCCTAAGACATTGGTTGGCTATATAGTTCTAGAGGCTCTCTTGATCTTGTTCTGATTTTGTGTTTCTGAAGTCTGACTGGAGAGAACAAAAGTCTTCTGTGCTGGTTTTGGTTGGGATAGATTTACTTTCTTCATAGTAGTTAGTATAGGACTATGGTTTGAATTCATGCTGGAAGCAGTGTTGATAACGTAGGGATGTTTTAGTTATTGCTGAGCAGCACTTACAGGAAGTAAAGGACCTTGCTGCTGCTCACACCACCCCTCCAGTAAGCAGGCTGGGGGTGCACAAGGAGTTGGGAGGGGACACAACTGGGACAGCTGACCCCAAGCGACCAAAGGGATATTCCATACCATATGATGTTGTGCTCAGTACATAAAGCTGGGGG